ACAATTTTCGGAGGCTGATTAACATCCCTAATCGTTTAGGCAATGTTTCAAGCCCCAAGCATCTTCTTAAAGACAACATTTGTAAGTTTTGGAGTCCGCAAAAAGAATTAGGAAGTCTTTTTATTTTGGAATTATTGTCAAGGCTGAGAGCTCGCAGATGCTCCAATTTAGCAATTGAATTAGGAAGTTTCTCAAAAGATGAATTACTTAAATCTAAATGTCGTAAGTACTTGTATCTCTCTATCCATGTTTCCAAAAGAGATTCACTGCCAACACCCACTCCATTAACGGGAAATATTATAGTTCTCACAACTCTGGACTTGGGGAACAAACTATGGCTTAGTGAATCATTTTCAACAACTGATATATGTCTTACTTGCTCTGGTATATTGCGACTATTGGAGTTTACCATTAGAAACTCTTCTTTCGCAACATACAGCGAAAGATCATGTACCAAATCATGTAGTTTAAAATAATAAACTGTGCCAAAGTCCTCAAAGTCCTCCAAAAATGACCTTGAATATAACTCATTAATATATGCTTTTCCAATATTCTCTATCTTTTGACTTCCAAATGGAGATCGAAGTAATCCAAGTGTGGCCCAAAAGTTAGCAATTTCAGCACTGGTAAAGCCAAAATCTTTGGGATAAAGAGAAAAGAAAGCAAAACAGTGCCTCAAATAGGATGGCATTTGATCATAGCTCAACTTTAGTGAAGGTAAAATGTCATCTTTCTGTTGTTTTCGGTTCCATAGCTCATGGTCTCTCATAATTTCCCATCTTTGTGAATCAAAAACTGAGAAGAGGGAACTTCCTGAAGTTTTCACTGCTAGAGGAACCCCTCGACACTTTTTCACTATTTCTTTTCCAATATCCACTAGATATGGATGTTCTTTTTCTTCCCCTTCCCTAAATGCCCATTTCAGAAACAGAGATAAGCAATTCTCTACTGAAAGACCTTCTAAAACATACGAGGGAACAGTGCCCATCATTGAAGCAATTGAGGTACTTCTTGTTGTCACCAAGATTTTGCTTCCTACTGCACCCACTTTAATTAAATCTTTCAACTCTATCCATTTTGCACGATTATCATTCCATACGTCATCCAAGACTAGTAGATACTTCTGACAAGAAAGTTCGTGTCTAAGACGACCTTGTAACTGCTCAATATCTAAGTTGTTCATGCTTTCTTGAGGAACAACAGAAATGATTGGATCAGAAGCAGAGTTGATGATTTTAATAAGTATCTGTCTTATGTCAAAGTCATCAGAGATACACACCCACATCTTCAACTGGAAAAGATCATCTATTCTGTTATCCTTGAACACCAACTTTGCAAGTGTGGTCTTTCCCAACCCTCCAATACCCACTATGGGAATAACACAAACACTTTGATCTCCATAACCATCACCATTAGGGTGAGGTTGCATCAAAAGCTTGATAATTTCTTCCCTATCACTCTCCCTTCCAATCACCCCCGAAGCATCAACATGGGAATAAGTCATTTCTCTCCTTTGGACAAGTCTGTTGTCAACATCAATTCTCTCAAGACCAAACTTGTTCCCATCAGCTGCTATCTTATTCAATCTACGTGTAACATTTTTTATTTTCCTAGCCATCCTAAAACGGAAAACAAGAGAATTAGATGAAGAAAAGAAGTGGTTTACCTTCATCCTGGTGGTGCCGGAAGCTTTGAGAACTTGTTTTCTGAGGTTTTGGCACTCAAATCCATCCAACACATCTTCAGCATCTAAGCATACGTTTTGAATCTGCCTGAGCCATTCACGCAATCCATGCTTCTTCTCCTTCTTCTCCTCAGCATCCAACAGCACGCCGTTTACAATTGACAAGGTTTCTCTGAAACTTTGCACATCCTCGTACAGATCAAAGGCTCGAGAAACTTCTTCATAAAGATTAGATGCAAGCTTCCCCAGCAGTGATTCAGCAATCTCGAAGACAAAATATTCAGCCATGTTCTTAGTGAAAGAGCAGAAAGTAGTTTGTATAGAAGTTTATGTTTGTGTGGAATGTGCCTCCACGTCCATTATACCCGATAGTCTTATGATAAGTCAACTTAATGAGTTTATGTCTCTAAAGGTCAACACTTTTCACTTTAAGGTTAAGTGTTACTTTTATGTTTTCTTTGTTTATCTTATGACAAGTCAACCAATTGTGTTTAAGTCTGAAGTATTTTATATATATTATGCTGTTTATTTTGATGTTTTTGTTTTATTAAAACGTTAAATAGATTGAGAGTTTTAAGATTCTCAATTTAGTATTTTATGTTTTTCAATAGTTCATTTTTCTACTTGATATTTTTAAAAGGTTTCTTGTTTATTTGTAATTAAAATGTTAAATAAATTAATGGACACGCTAATCAAGTCAAGTAGGTTTATTATCTAGGAAACACATATATAGACACGAAAATACTGTACAAAGACAAGACACATATATAGTTAAGTAGGTGTACTAATCTTTAATTGGTTGGTTTGTGCTAGTTAAAGTTAATTTTAAGTTGAGATTAGTTGAGATTATCAAGTGGAGGTAGATCTTTATGATAAAAGTTAATTGTGTAATTTTTTATCTTCGTTACTCTTTTAATTTGTTTAAATTGTTCTCTTTTGATTTGTTAAACGCGATAATCATTCTGATTTGATTTGTTAAACGTGTTAATCATTCCAATGCCAGCTCTGACACTCGTAAAAATTTATATATATATATATATATATATATA